CCCCCCCGGTCAAAATACAAAAAAAGACTAGGAAGCACGTGTAGAGTCCATGTTAATGTCTCATGAAGGTTTGCCATCGTGAAAATCCTTTCCAGTAACAGCATACACTGCCGTCATGTTCACTCTGAAGGGGCACTGGAGGAGGCTGTGGCACTTAAACAAAACCATAACTGAAATCGAAGAATGAGAAAACACCAGAGGGAGCAAGAGCCTACAAAATGATCACATGTTCAGTACTCCTCACAAGTGGAACTAGTGAGGTCATTAAACATGGAATTCCAGCACTCAGAAGAGACCAAAGTAGTCACTTCCGGGCCATGGGATATCTGGTGATTTCCAGGCCAGCCAGGAACACAGAGTAAGGCAGTAACCAAAACAAATGACATAAGGCCAGTAAGATGGGTCAGCAATTGTCACTAAGCGTGATGACCTGACTGACCTCCACACCACTACATGGAGCACATACACATGCATGCCTGCGTACAAACACACACACACACACACACACACACACACACACACACACACACACACACAGACACACTCTAAACGTTTGAAACAATAAAGTCTAAAAGGTGTTAAGCTGGGCAGGTGAAATGGCTCAGCTGGTAAAGGTGGTTTTAACAAGCCAAACCCATGAGTTTCAATCCCAGTGCTGAGGTGATGGAAGCAGAGAACCAATTCCCCCGGCTTCACTGACACCATGCTCATGCTATGGACCACATCCACACACATACACATGCACACACATATAAACACTAAATATCATTTCAAAACCAACAGAAAGAAAGATATAAACCAGCTAATGATGGCACAGCTTTTAATCCCAGCACTCAGGAGGTGGAGACAGGCAATCTCTGTGTTCCAGGCCATCCTGGTGTACAGAGTGAGTTCCAGGCAGCAAAGCTATATGATGAGACCCTGTCTTAAACACAATTTCTTTTTTTTTTTTTTTTTTTTTTAAGACTAGTCAAGAGCAGGAGTGAGAAGAGGGAAAGTATAGAACAGGAGCTCAGTCTGAAACAGACTGTGAACATCAACTGACATAACTCACTACCTTCAGATCAGCCCAGAAAGTAAATGTTGAAAGTGAAAACAGATAAACGTAAATAGAAACTAATGTTTTTAAAAAAGAAAAGAATACATCAACACTTGCATATAGACAAACTACCCTGAGACATACCCAAGGAGCCACTACAGGGGATCAGAGGAAAAGAACGGAGGGCAGGAGGCAGAGCAGGGACTGGAGAAGTGCATGTAACTTCACGAGAACAAGGGAAGGTGTCTTTGCTCACTGAATTCTCTAGTCATCTGCTTGGGGTTTCCTTGGGGAGAGTGGTTTGTTTGGTTTTATTTTGATGTTTGGGCTGTGAGCCTAGCCTTTAATGGCTGAACTCTCTCTCCAGCCCTTATTTTTATTTTGAGACAAGGTCTCCCTACACAGCTGAAGCTGGCCAGGAGACAGTCTCCCGCCTCAGCTTCCCAAAGGCCAACACTGCAGGATCATGCCA